GGTATATTTTCTTCATTAGCTTGTCATTTATCTCGGTCACATGACATCATAACATAACAAGCACTTTTAATTTCAATTATCATTGAACAATATAAATCAATTTATAAATCATTTCTCAAATTATTTAAATTTGTATCAATAACAAAATTCACACAAATAAACTACTAGCATAGTCAATGTCACAAATATTAATTTTCAACACCATCAAAATTTTACTTTAAATAATAATAGGTACCCTTAATACATTACGGATTAATATCTTTTTCATGCACATTATTTTATAAATATGTATATGAAATATAGTAGGAAAAAGGAACATACTATTTTTTTTATCAAACATAATCTTAGTATTTCATTAGTCATATGATAGTAATAGATTTTTAAGAGCAATACAACCAACTAAGATATCAATACAATAATATATATATATATATATATATATATAGTATGTATGTATGTGCTTTATGCTCAATTAAGCAAAATCATCAAACATCAATAAAAAAACACTACAATAGGCAAGTAATGACATTGACATTATAAAAACATAATATTAAAATTTTCGTGGAAAATTTTTTTCATGATTTTAAGCATTAAATCGCGACATGGTATTATCTCAAATTATTGTTCCTAACACACAAAAGGAATATAATTAAATAATAAAATTTAACACAATAAATAAATAAATCTATTGTAAATTAAAATAAAAAAAAGAACTTAAACCTTTTATCTTGATCGTCAAAGAATTTGGGATTAAAATCACGGTACCATGCGTCACGATATAAAGATGACAGAGTCATCAAAATAATTTTATCATAATTTTTAGGTGATCGACTCGAGGTACAACTAAGTTGGTTTCTTAGGACAATATACTCCATTCATAGAATTTATCTAAAGCAACGAATCAAGAATATATTGCATGTCATCTCAAGGATACAACAAGCTTAGCCACCTTGTCATGTCTTAATAAATTTGCACTATTTGTAAGACTTGAAAATCTAAAAATATTAGCACCACTCTTATCCAAAAATAATATAAATAGAAATTATATGGCTTTATAGTTGGATATTAAAGAAAACAAAAATGAAGAATTATTTTTCTTCACTGGAAAATATGCTACAATACTTATCTCAAAAAACAAAAAAGCATGCTCCTTACTTTAGTAAAGAGAAATAAGTACATATAATATTATTATTTTTGTGTGTTTTAACCAAAGAAATAATAGCATCTAAATATAGGCTTTCCGAGAAATCTATTTCGAAGGAATAATTGGAATCATTAAGTGCAATTAATTATTCTAAAAACGATAAAAACTTCTTTTAGAAATGATGTAGCTATTTTTTAATTTATTAAAATAAATATAGCTATTGTAACCAAAACATTTTAATGTACCTCATTAACCATGCATTCAATATTTTATTATAATAATTATATTTTATAAAAAAATAATCCAACAAAACATGTTTTTTTCGGATTAAGTTAAATCATTTGCGTTTGAAGTGGAATGTTCCCTAAAAAAACTTAAAGCTGCATTATTTTAATACCGAGTGTATACCATTGATTAAAATTAATGAAGGAAACAGAAGAAGTAAATTTGGAAAATCTCTTATATGCTTATTAAAAAAAAATCGTAAGGTAAAACTAACTCTTTTACCCCTCCACTTTTGTTAAAAACATGACTAACACATACTCGCGAAATTTTAACAATCAAGCTTAAAATAATTATGAAAAAATAACATATTAATGCAAAATATTTTACTTTCAATGGTTCAACATGAAGCAAAGTTTCCATAAGAAGGGATATTTTTATGTAGCAAAAAAATTCTCTTTAAAAAATTATTTTTTATTAGTAAAGAATAGAAAAGGAAATAATGAATTGATTTTTTTTAACAATTAAGATTATTTTAAAAAAGTATATTATTTAAAGTTATTAAACAATTTTTTTGGAACATATATATAAATAGAAAGAAAGAAAACATTTTTGAAATAGAGAAAATAGTAAAATAGAAGCATTTTATTTTCTAGAGCATGGTTACCAAATGGAGAGTTTCATTCTCTAGCTTTTTGATTGTGACTTTAATTTTTAGATTACTCTTTTACATTTTTTATGAAAAAAGATCGAGTTTTTTTTCTTAATATATAGGGAATGAAGGAAAGTGTTGTGAATGATACCATGAAATCATCACCGTTATGACATGATTCTTAAAAGTCTACCACAACTAGGTCTCCATCTTCTACTAAAAGTTCTTCTCCTATTAAACTTCTTAACAACAACATAATTCCTTCGAGATAAAAACAACTCGATTCTTTCAAATAATGTTCTATAAAGATATATATAGATAACCCTTATTAGTTGTAGATAATTAAGTAGTTTATACATATCTAGAGTTCTACAAACCCACTACTTATAACACTATATAAGGACAACTAATCTATGAATAACATTGAGCTAAAATATTATTCATTCATTCTCCAATCTCTATTTTAACTTGGTATTAAAGCCTACAAAAGGCAACACTGTCATTTTTCTCTTCTTACTAAGCCAAGTCGTTTTTTCTCTTCCTCCTAGCAAAGATCTTATTTTTTCTCCTTTAGCTGAAATCCTTTTAAATTATTCCAACTCCCTATGCAATGGCTTTCTTTACTAATACTTCCATCACAAATCACACATAACCCACTCTCACTCGATTAGCTAACCCACACCCACCATTTTATCTTTTTAAAACTCATTACTACCAATTTCTTGCCATGGCATGTTTAAATGAAACCATTCCTTCTTGGCCAAGGCCTTTTTGGCTTTATTGATGGATTTAATCCTTGCCCTCCTAATCAAATTAACATAGATGAATCTGCCTCACTTCGACCTAATCCACATTATATCACCGGGGTTCAACAGGATCAGTCGCTTATGACCACTCTCCTCTCTCGCTCTCTCTCTCTCTCTCTCTCTATATATATATATATATATATATTGAAATTCTCCTAATGATTATTGACTACACCACATCTCAAGAGGTGTGGTCCGTTCTTGAGTGTGCTCTTGCCTTTTCTTCCAAGCACTTGTTTGATGACCTTGCACCTTTCTCTTAAGAAATGACACCAAGAACTCCATGAACTTATTTCTTAGTACTCGTAGCATGTAAAATCCTACGGTGATGAACTCATTGTAATTGGGCATTCTCTTTTAACCATTGATTTCAATCTGTATGTGTTCAAAGGTTTATTCAATGACTTCGAGGATATTGTCACTACGGTATCCATGCAATCGGAACCAATCAATTTCTCTTATCTTTATAGTTTGCTCCTTATCCATGAGTTCTTATTCCGTGACTCCTCCTCCGATCTCTTTCTTTCTACATCAAGTCTAGGTTTGTTACCGTCGCTACCACTGTAAATCCAATCTACAAAACCATAAGCTTTCTTATAGAATGTCTTGGCAATCCAAATCATGGTAGGGGTTGCTCTTTTCGTGGGAAAGGGCATGATCAAAATTATAACATGCATGTTCCTAATTTTGGTGCTAACAATAGGGGCAATTGGTCTTAAAATGAGTATTAAAACAAATATCAAATCTGCTCCTCTTAGAATCACATGACAATAAATTGCCCGCAACAAATGTCGCACCCTTTTTGTCCTTCTACAAATCTTTCTACTTTCAAATCATTTTTTTTTAATTCTTAATCATGGTGTCCTAACACGGATGCTTCTCACCAAGCCTCGGCACTTATGAGACCTATATTGATCGATTCATGAGTTAGCAATGGTTTGTATTTACCCATTCATCATATTGGCTTTAAGTCATATTCATAGCCCATCTAAAATTTTAAAATTGTATGATTTTCTTCATGTTCACCCAATAACTAGACCTTTACTTTTTGTTAAAAGGCTTGCATAAGATAAAAATATATTTTGGGAGTTTTACCCTTCTTCTTTTTGTCTAAAGGATCGGGTGTATAAGACTTTTTTTCTTTTAGGCTTGAGTGATGTCGACCTCTACTTTCCGTCTCCTTCCACTCTATCTACCCCTCACACTTACTCTATCCATGCTTCTTTAAATAATTGGCACTCTAAATTGGGTCATCTACGTGAACAAATCTTAGTTTCTATTTTGAAAAATCATGGTTTATCTTCTTCCAAACTAATTAGTCCTTACTTGTCTTGTCCACTAGAAAAAACAAGTCATCTATCATTGTCTTCATCTCTAAATATAAGTATTGGATTTTTGAATTTAATTTTCAGTGATGTATAGGGACCTTTTCCTACTCGCTTCGGTTGATGGTCACAATTATTACATATTATTCATAGTATTCATATATCACTTTTTCAAGCATATTTGGTATTTTTCATTATGTAAAAAATCGAATGTCTTTGATACTTTTATTTGTTTCTAAAAAATGATTGAATGTCAATTTAATTGTAAAATCAAACAAGTTCAAACTGATTAGGGTATGGAATTTTGTAGTCTAACTAATTTTTTGATACTATTGATATCATTCATCGTATAATATGTCCTCATACACACAAAAAAATGTTACACATGAAAAAAATGATACTATTGAGAGATGACACCGTCACATTATCAAAACAAGTCTTACATTATTAGGAGAAGTTAAGGTTTCTAGAAAATATTGATACTTTTCTTTTGAAACTACAATATTTCACATTACTTGAATGCCATCATCTCGTTTTTAGAAATAAATCACCTTTCGAAGATGTATTCAAAAAACCACCGAATACTCTTTTCCAAAAAAATTTTAATTATCTTTGCTTCTCCTATTTAGGTCCCTACAATAAACATAAAATGGATTTTTGGTCAACTCTTTGTGTATTCCTTGGCTAAAGTTCATCTCATCTAGGGTATTGTTATCTTGACCAAACTACAAATCGATTTTATATTGCCCAACATATCCATTTTGTCAAAAGTATTTTTCCATATGCTCACAAAGACATTTTGAAACTACCTTCCGTCTACACACCTTCCGCTTCACCTTAGTGAAGTTTTCCTATTCAGCACCTAAATTTTGCTTCTCACTTTCCGTATATAGGTCGTAGCACTCCCAAGCTAACCCGTACACTCCTAAGTCCACCCCCTCCTTTCTATAAGCCACCAATCCTACGAGCTCACCCCACACCCAAATAGCATAAGCCCTAGGCTAATCTTACCCGCCTACACCCGTACCTCAACTTCTTCAAGCCCATCCTACCGCCTTAAATGCCCTATTGCCCAAACACAATCCCATTTTACCTCTTTTGATACTACAAATCCTCCCTAAATCATAAAATCATACCCTACATCTCCTTTCCAATTATAAGGGCAACAACCTTCATCTTCATCACTCTTCACTTCTACCCAAAGCTTATCATCTTCAATCCTCCTTAAATACAACTTGCCCATCCTTTCAAAACCAACACCTATCATAACCTTTTCTTCCTCTCCCAATAACTCCACCTATACGCCACCTAGCTTAAACCTAGTCTTAGATTTATGTGAAAATGATTTAGAACCTCCAAAACAAACTATAAACCTATAATTTATTGAGGAACTCCAAAGAACTCATTCTATGATGCTTTACTCAAGAGGTCCATTATCCAAGCCATTTGCTTATTTAGCTATCTCCCCAAGCCAAATTCCGAAACACCATCTTGTTACATCGACATAAAGAAATTTATAGAATGGAGATTGCGAGAATCTAATGTAGTTATGCAAACTAATACTTGGAGTTGGGTACCTCATACAGATTCAATGAATATTATAGGTAACAAATGGATTTTTAAAATAAAGAAAATGGTAGATGGCAATATTGAATGGTATAAAGTAAGGCTGGTTGCTACGGGATATCATCGGCAAGAGGCATTGACAATGGGGAAATGTTTAGTCTTGTAGTTAAACCTTCAACCATCCAATGTTTCTTACTTTGATAATCTTTTCTGGTTGGGGGATTCATTAATTAGATGTCCATACTACTTTCCTTCATGGGAATCTTGTTGAGAATGTGTTTATTTCATAACCAACTGGATTTGTTAACAATCGATTCCCTCATTATGTGTGCAAATTGCACAAATCACTTTATAGCTTGAAACTCGTCACCATGGGCTTGGTTTTTCTATCTTCAAGACTTCTTGCTAGCTTTTAGAGTTGTGGGTCGATGAACTAATTCTTTTATAATTATTTATCATGTGAACAATAATAGAGTTTTCCTTCTTATCTATGTTAATGATATCTAAATCATATGTAATAATTGTTCCTTTCTTTAGTTCTTGATATCGCCTATGAACTCTAGATTTGCCATCCGTGAACTTAGAGACATCAGTTCTTTTTGGGTGTTAAGGTTGTTAAAACTACTCGGGGGATGGTCCTCTCATAAAGGGAATACATTACCGATATTCCGTCTAAACATGGCATGATTTCTTATCGTCCAATGTCTATACCCCAATGCCAACCATGACAAAATTAACAAAGCATGACAGCTCTACCTTTGAAGACCCTACTCTTATCGCCAAGTTGTACGTCCTTTGTAATATGTCATATTAACTCGATCGGATATTTCTTTTATAGTTAACAATGTGTGCCAATTTATACATGATCGAAAAATAGATCATTAGGTTGCTATTAAATGTATCTTACATTACTTAAAACATATTGTTAATCATGGACTTCATCTATGAAGGTCTAACTTACAAGTTCTTTTAGGTTTCTCGGACTTTGATTAGATAGGCTCTATTGATGATCGACAATCCACAGGAGGTTATGCTCGTATATCTAGGTCCAAATCGATTTCTTAGAAATCTTCAAAATTGAAAACGAGTGGCTCGCGGCTTTATCGAGGTCGAGTATAAGGCAATAGCTAACCTAGTTGCCAAAATATCATGGGTGACTTCCCTCGTAACTAAACTTGGTGTTAAACAATCCATAACTCCTATAATTTGGTTTGATAATATACGCACCACCTACTTGGCCGTTAATCCTATTTTTCATGTATGGATAAAACACATTAAAATTGATTTTCACTTTGTCAAGGACTTGGTTGCAAGAGGGAGCCTATAGGTTAAATTTATTTCAAGTTAGGATCGGATAACGGATATATTTACGAAGCCTTTATCAAGTATTCGGTTTAATTTCTTAAGAAACAAACTAACACTAGGCGAACACCGATTGTTAGTTTGTGGAGAAGTGGTAAGACATGATTCTCGAAGTTTACTACAATCAAGTCTCCATCTTCTCGCCACAAGTTCTTCTCCTATTAGACTTCTCAACAATAACCTAATTCCTTCATATGACTACAACTTGATTCTTTCGGATAATGTTCTATAAAAATGTATGTAAATAATTCTTATCAGTTGTAGATAACTAAGTAATTTGTACATATGTAGAGTTTTACAAACTCACTACTTGTAATAGTAAATAAGAACAACTAATCTCTTAATAATATTAAGTCGAAACATTATTCATTCATTTTCAAATTTTTTTTTAACTATCATGTGCTTGAAGTTGTAAGTTGCTCGATTTTCTTTTCCAAAAACTTGACTTAATTTGTAAATATTTGAGGCTTCATCTCTGTCTCCTTCTTTGCCTAAAAAAAAAAAAAAAAAAGAAGCGAAACATGGTCGGGGTGTTGAAAAGTTGGTCTCCGGAACAAGCTATTACAAATCTATGTATGTAGTTTGGCATTTAAGTATTGCTCTTTTTTAGAGATTTAATTGTATTAATTAGTTTTCCACTATTGTTAGCTTTTTTTTTTTTTTTTTTTTACATTTTTCATCTTTTGCTTGCTCATGGTGTCGTTGTGGTTGTGTTATAACCGCATTTAATGATTGTGTTAAATGCTTGTTTTACACTATTGTTTTAGTTAATGAGGCTATTGGTTTGTCATTGATTAAATGTCATTTAATTTTAATGAGACTCTTGGTTTATCACTCTTTAAATGTAATTTAATTCTAATTTCGGATATATTTTTTATAGGATTTGGACAACCTGAGTGTTACTTCGTGCATTTTTTTCCTCTCTTCTTGGATTTCACTAGAGCATTCCCTTTGGATTGTTTGATGATGGTTCTGGAGTTTATAAGAGTATTTTTTTAATCCCTTATTTGGATATTTCCTCCTAGGAGGAAAGAAAAGAGGAAAGAAATTGAGAGAAAAGAAAAGGGAGAGGAAAGAAAACTATTTTCTACTTATTGTTTGGATAAAAGTGGAAATGAAAGGAAAGAAAGTATATTTTTCTTGTTTGGATAATTGTAAAAAGAGAGAGGAAAGAAAATGTATTATTATGTATTTACGATAATACCCCTCTACTTATATTTCTATATTTAAATACTTATAATAAATTTGTATGAATATTTTTTTCATGAAAATAACACAAATGATAATAAAATAAAAATCTAGCATGTAAAATCTATCCGAAATGATAAGATGGATAATGAATCGTCTACATAGAATAATTGATAACTGTTTATTAATTAATTAATTCAATAGCCAATTTAGATTAATTATCAACATAAAATTAATTTAAATATGTATACCATGTATTATTATCTATACATATAATAAGTTAGTTGCTTTTATCCATCATTTTCTCTCGCTTTTTTTAGAATAAAAAATTACTATTTAGCAATTAAAAAAAAAGAGAGAGTATATTGTAACATTGCAAAAAATCATGAAAAGTCAATTGAATCACAAAAAATGAGACAAATCACAAATAATTTTTATTTCTTCTTTTGCGGTAACTCTAAAAAGTGTTCGAGGGGTCGTTTTGAAAGATATTTTTTTATCTATTTTGGTGGGTTTTGTTGGGGGTTTTTTGGTGGTTTTGAATCTGGGATGGGGATGTTTTTGGAGCTTCTTTCGTGGTTCAAATGGCCTTTCCAAAGGAGTTGCTCTGTAAGGGTTTTGGGGGTCGTTAGTAACGATTCTGGCTGAGTTTGTGGGCTTTTGGTAGGTGTTAAGTCTGTTTTGGGGTTGATTTTAGGCCTATTGTTTTAGGGCCTTTTGGGGTGGTTTTGAAGTTGGTTTGCAGGTGTTGTTGGAACTGCTTTGGTGGTTCAAATGACATGTCCAAAGGGGTTGCTCTATAAGGGTTTTGGGGGATCGTTGGTAGCAGCTTCAAAGCCGAGTTTGAGGGCTTTGGGTAGGTGTTGGGTCTGTTTTGGGGTTGGTTTTAGGCCTATTTTTTTAGGGTGTTTTGGGTGGTTTTAAAGCTAGTTTGCTGGTGTTTTTTGGAGCTGCTTTGGTGGTTCAAATGACCTGTCCAAAGGGGTTGCTCGTAAGGGTTTTTGGGGGGTGTTGGTAACGGCTTCGTGGCTGAGTTTGGGGGCTTTGGGTAGGTGTTGAGTCTGTTTTGGGGTTGGTTTTAGGCTTATTTTTTTAGCGCGTTTTGGGGTTTTGTTTGGATGGTTTTCAAGCTGGTTTGGGGGTGTTTTTGGAGCTACTTTGGTGGTTTAAATGACCTTTCCAAAAGGGTTGTTTTGTGAGGGTTTTGGGGGTCGTTGGTAACAGTTTCGGGATTGAGTTTGGGGGCTTTAGGTAGGTGTTAGGTCTGTGTTTAGGGTTGGTTTTAGGCCTTTTTTAAAGGGTTTTTTGGGGTTTTTTTGGGTGGTTTTGAATTTGGGTTGCAAGTGTTTTTGGAGCTGCTTTGGTGGTTCAAATGACTCGTCCAAAATAGTTGCTCTGTAAGGGTTTTGGGGGGTGTTGGTAACTATTTCAAGGCTGAGTTTGAGGGCTTTAGGTAAGTGTAAGGTCTGTTTTGAGGCTATTTTTTAGAGTGTTTTGGGGCTTGTTTGTAGCTGTTTGAGAGCTAATTTTGATGCTTTGGGGGAGGTGTTATTTTTTAGGCCATTTTGGAGGAGATCGTCGACAAACTTTTTAGTTTTGACGGAGACAATCAGCCGGGCTTCATCATGTATAACATTCATCATTTTTTTATATTTGTTATCATGAAAATTCTTTTTCACTAGAGCGAGTGCAAGATTTGTATATTTTATGAAAAGTCAAGTTTTTAAGCTTCAATGCTAACCTTTTAGATGGACTTCATCTATAGCAAAAAATAATTAAAAGTGATTATCACGGGAATGTGAGAAAGGATGTAAATCCATTGGTAATATTCAATGGTTCTCTCAAAATTTGATCATCTTGAAATTGATTTGTAAAAAGAGTTTTAAGTTATTGTTTCCTTTTTTATATTTTCATTATGTTAAATATATATATATATATATATATATATATATATATAGAGAGAGAGAGAGAGAGAGAGAGAGAGAGAGAGAGAGATGTGCAATCTATAAACGAGAGATAGAATTTATGCTCGCTTTTTATTATTATATATATGCAAAATTTGCTTTTGTGAAAACACAAAAAAGAAAGAAGCCAAAATTTTTTTTTCTAAAAATGTAAAAATAATAAAAAGCGAGCATAAATTCTATCTCT